TATTACCTAATGAGTACCATCAAATTTCAAATGAGTTAAGAAATTCCAATTTCAGTCTTTATTGCATCCACCAAGACCCAGACATCATGATGGGGTCGAATACCATCTTGGCAAAAGAAAATACGAAGATAACTGAATTAAGAATTAAGTGCTCATGCTTTTAACTGATCCTTTAGGTGCCTAGTTAAACCCGTAAAGAAACAGATACAAGTATCTTGTGAAAGGCTTCACCCTTACACTCTGACCAATAAGTAATGTGCATCACAGGAAACAGAAGGTTTATTCTTTAATGCCTCAAGACGCCTATAAACTTAGCAAGAGAAATTTATGATTTCACAGTTAAAGAGTATTAATTCCAAAGTTTTTAGGTGACTACGAGAAATCTACAGAAATTCGCCCTCCTCCAAAACAAAACTCACACAGGTTCAAACAATGCATCACCAGAATATACAAAATCCAAGCATCCAAGATTGCCTTGAAAGAGTTCTACGTCTGTTACGAATATAATCTTCTCATTGATAGAATGCTTGGTTAAGATAACAGTCATTGGAAATAAACGTAAACACCGCAAGTGGTAAACCGAAAGAAAGTTCAAATGCAAACAGAGCAAAACTTCGACTCGAAAAATGATATTCGGTACCAGAAAGTTGCTTCATCCACAGTGCTCACATAAGCTCCGCCACCGATAACTAAGCCTAAGGTGGCTGCCGTCAACAACCCCCATCGACTCGTAAAATACCAATATTTACTAATGACCCATTTTTACCTGAGGCCTATTTGTGGAGACTTGAATTGCATCATTGGTATTAGTTTCTTTACCATTTCCCTGCAGCGATATGATTAGAAGTTAGAATATATTTTTTAGACCGTTATTTCCCTGCAGCGATATAATTACCTCATTTTGTTGTTTAGCCAACACAAGATCAAACACTTCCCGCAATTTTCCTTCGACATTTTGTAGTCGGTCTCTAAGCTCTCGATTACTCATGCTGGCATATGTTTGGGCATCATATCTAGAAGGTGTAACCCCATAACCACCTCCACGAAGTCGACCTCGATGTTCAGGTCCAAGTGCTTGTGATAAGGCATCATCTTTTATAGAACCATTGTCTGTTGTTGGCATTTCATTAGCCAACTTAATGTCATCCTATACATTTAAAAATCATTTACAAGATTAAAAGAAAAATGAACAAAAAATAACACAAGGATAATTTCAAACTGAAGCTTCGTACCATTTTCTTTGACACTATCTCATTTACGGGTTGACCATTTTTTCTTGTACGAGCAGCTATCCAAAGACTGACTCTATTTAAATCCTCCTCAGGTGTACCTTTGTTTCTCTATTAATTAATCCATAATTTAAACTTCGTATAAGTGTGTTGTCACTGAAATGAAATTAAAATATATACAAAGGTTCATACCAGCTCGTCCTCCAAGCGTGCATATCCTTTACGACTCATCACATGAGGGAGAGTATGGAATGATTTCAACTTTTTGAACTTCTCACTAATTGCCTAACAAAGAAAAATAGATAACAAGGAACTTCATTTAACCAACATCCATGCATAGAAAACCTAATCATTAATTTAAAATTTAATACAAACAAGCTTACATCAAACTCAGGAGAGCATCGATGTTTAACAAATTTGTCCCAATCAGCTTGTTTCTCAATATTAGCAGGCTTCAAGAGTTGCATTTGTTCCATTGCATCAGGACCATCAAGTGATCTTATTTGTTTTGTCAACGTGGCTTTGTATGTACGCCAACACCCAGACATTTGTGTTAATAATATCTTCTTACGACAGGGTGCCAAATCGTATTTTTGCTGCATTAACCATGAATCTTTATTAACATCAAAAAGATAATTGATTTTTTATAGTATTATAGAAGAACAAACTAGTTAGGAAATTAGAGCACAGTTTCGGTTAACTTTTACCTTCACAGCAGCCCATAATTTATCTTTCAAAATTGTAGGAACCTCATCCCAACTTGCGTAAGTTACTGGTATTAGTTGTCTTGCAAGGATCCCTGCCGATGAACTCAAACTCGCTGATCCAGCACCAAAATGTTGTCCTTTGTCATTGAATTGAACACCAATTTGTTTGGCCTTTGACAGAGCATTTATAATCCAACATTGTTGGACCTCTTCCCTTTCTCTTTTTTGCTTCATTCACATCATCACTTGAGTGCATCTCGTCACCGTCTAGCAAACCATCAAAATCCATAGACACCTAAAAATTTAAACCAAATTCGTAGAAAGATTAACAAAGGAATGTTTTCGGTCCTAGAAGAAAAAACCAAGTTAGAGAGAAAGATTTCGCAGGGTAACCAAATGCAACTACAAGACCACTCAATTCATACCAAATTTACAGAGAGAGATCAATGAATAATCTTTGCGTCCTAGTAAAAAAGAACGATGTGAAGAGAAGGATTGAGGGGATAGCCAAATATTAACTGCAAGCGACTGGTGGTGGGAGCACGGCAGTTTGTTCACTTCGTGGGTTTTTAATTAAGTTTTCTTTCCAATAAAAAATATATTAACTATTATTATGTTAATTGTTTTACAAGTATATTATCATTGGGACTCTCTTATAGCCATAAAATTACAAGTTTATTGGGACTTTGATACTAGGGGTACATGGACTCTCTCACTCTTAAGGGTTAATTACCTTGTATATAAAAAGTGTTAATTATTACCTGATCGGAGGACCGATGTGGTGGTGGATGCCTCACGTCCGACTTGCTAGAAAAATCCAAAATATTGTTGTTGCTGAAACTCGTCACACACGATGACTTAGGAGATGAGGCTGCAGAGGCAGCAGTTGATTGCATAATCTGAGACAAAGAATACAAAGCTGCAGCCGTTATTCACTCTTCAAAAATGTCATTTTATATTCCAAATTTAACAAAAAATAAGAGAAATTTTTTTACAGAAGAGTACTGCAGAATGGCTTTTTTACAGCACCCACAACAAAATATCAAATTTGAATTACCCTGTGGCTTCGAAATGGATTGGTCAGAACTCAGGAGTCAGGAGACTCATGACCATGAGGTGGTGGTCGAAGTTGAGAGGAGCAGATGGTGGTTGTCGAAGACTCAGAGTCGACTTTAGAGAAGCTGAGGGAGGGAACTCAGGTATCATGAATCGAGAGGGAGGAGAGTAATGGTTACTCTCAATCGATGAGAATCGTATTGAAGATTTTGTGGATTTCGCAATCTGGGGTAAAAAAAAATTGATAACCATAAAAAAAGGACCTCCAGCCAAGGGACGAAGGAAGGCTGCGTTTTGGGGAAGAAGGAAACTGCATTTGAGGATCATCCTTTTTAGATAAAGAAATCGCAGGAAAGCTGGGTTCGGGGAAGAAGGAAGGTTGGGTTTTGGGAAGAAGGAATGGCTTGGGGTTTGGGAAAGAAGGTGGGCTGGGTTTTGGATGAGAAAGGAATGGCTGGGAAGACGTAGGAGGGAGGGGTTGGGTCGGACAGGAGGAGACCGTCCATCTCCTCTGTTCTTTTGTTCTTTTCTTTTTTTTAATTTTTAAAAGGTCAAAATGATAATAAAATTCCAGCTCTGTAAAACATAATTAAGGACAGATTGTGAGATTTAATGAAAGCATACTACTCTATAATTTCTCGACACTGGGAGAGAGAGATCAAGAGGGAGCAGATAGGAAGGACCGAGGTTAGCAGATTCCATCGAATTGTAATTATCATTTTTTATTTGTTTTGGTCAAATCACAAAATAAAAATTCAAATATCAAATAACGGGACAAATTTTTTCGACGGTTATCAACAAAAAATTATGAATTAACGGTTATTTTAACTTTAATTTTGATGATTTTTTACAGCTACACTCATTGACCCTATATGAATACAATGAATGAACTCGATCTTCAATTTAAAATATTTACATTAATGGATACCACAAAATCTTATGTTATACTTAATGAAAGTATGAATAAACTTTTAAGTGTTAGCGAATCTATCGTATCGATGGGATACGCATTCTACGAAACTAATTTCAACGATCCAACCGTCAAACTTGTTTGTATATACTTCGAGATCGCATACGCCAAAAATTGCAAAAAACAAACATTCAGAGATCGAGTAACGGGACAAAACTTTTCGACGGTTATGAACGAAAAATCACGATTTAACGGTTATTTTAACTCCGATTTTGATGATTTTTTACAGCTACACTCATTCACCCTATATGAATACAATGAATGAACTCGATCTTCAATTTAAAATATTTACATTAATGGATACCACAAAATCTTATGTTATACTTAATGAAAGTATGAATAAACTTTTAAGTGTTAGCGAATCTATCGTTTCGATGGGATACGCATTCTACGAAACTAATTTCAACGATCCAACCGTCAAACTTGTTTGTATATACTTCGAGATCGCATACGCCAAAAATTGCAAAAAACAAACATTCAGAGATCGAGTAACGGGACAAAACTTTTCGACGGTTATGAACGAAAAATCACGATTTAACGGTTATTTTAACTCCGATTTTGATGATTTTTTACAGCTACACTCATTCACCCTATATGAATACAATGAATGAACTCGATCTTCAATTTAAAATATTTACACTAGAGGAAGAAATCGGGATGCAATATTGGCTGCTTGCCTGTACATTTGCTTGTTGTCAATAAGACAAGTGTAAAGAGTAGAGCTTATGATTTGTTTTTTAACATGTGGATGCTTTCCGAATCATCTTTGCCTTTGTGTATGAGCTTCTCTGAACCTGTGAGGTTCAAACAGAAATTTGCTCTGCCGCCAAAGGAGCCACAAAGAAGAAAATTGGCCGAGCAAAAGAATACATAGTAAAATAACTGGGATTAGAGAATGGTCAGTTGGTGGAGATGGGAACAATACATGCTGGGGACTTTATGGTGAGAAATTTTTCGTTTTCATTTAGTTCTGATTTGAAGAAAAAAAAAACCATACACATAAATATCAGTTTTCCTAAGAAGAGATCCAAAAAAAGGTAGAGAAATTTGTGAAAAATGTTTTCATTCAATAATAGTCTAGTTTTACACATGAATGGCCTCACAATCTGCCCGAACATAACCTTCATCTTCATCACCTACACAATCATCAAGTTTATAAACATCTAATGGGGCATATGACATGTAAGCATCCTCGTCAAACTTTCCCAAGTCATGGAACCCTTTTGGAGGTGCTTTTAGAACAACATACCAATCAGACGTTTCACTCTCTCTTGAATAAAATACTTGTTTGGCCTGTGAAGCGAGAATAAATGGATCATTTTGAAATTGATTTAGACGATGCAGGTTGACCAAAGTAAATCCATCATCAACCTTAATGCCATTACTAGTATTCGCCCAATCACATTTAAATATGGGGACCCGAAACGTGTAATAGTCCATCACTAGAATCTCTTGAATCACCCCATAGTATAAAACCTTTTTTTAATCTCTTCGGTGCCATTGACCGATGTTTCAGCTTCAAGATAAACACCACTGTCTTGTGTACTCTTCTCACTAGCTCTTGTACAAAAAACGCCTTCCATTTACAACATATCTTGAATATGACATTACTTGTGTTATCGGTCCAAATGCAAGCCCCTTTAACATGTCCGAGACACTTGTGTCTCCCAGTGCAATAACCTGTTCAGTAATTAATGGAATGCTAAAAAACATAATATTGTTGGAACTACAAATTACCTACCTAAAAGTATAAAAAAAGAAAGTAGAAGAATATAAATCCAACCTTATTGCGAAGCCAAGATGAAAATTGAGTTGCATGCATCCTATGTAGCTTGTTCAATTTGCCTACAAGGCTCGGATCTGAATACTTAAGCTCCTCAACATGCATTCTGGAACAAAATAATATGTTATGAAGTTTTAATAAAATAGAATGCACATAAGCTTCTAAAAGGGTGCATAACTCACTCTCGATATGGCTCAGCTTCTGAGCTATTAAACAATATGTAACGATGAGCAATTTGGTACATTTCTGAAGACATGGTCATTGTCACACCAGCTGAAATAGGATTCCCAATAACAATTGATTCATCCTCATATCGGTTATGTCGTAAACCGATATTTTCAGCTTGTTTTATGTACTTACTACAAAATTTCACACACTCGTCAGCTAAGACACACTCTACCATAGACCCCTCTGGTCGTGCTCGATTTCTAACATAATCCTTTAACACCTTCATAAATCTGAAAGAAATTTAATCATGTCATAAACTAGTAAGTCATCTAAAATAGAAAAACAAAAAAATAGGCTAATACTAGAAATATAAATACGAAAGTACCTTTCAAAAGGATACATCCAACGATAATGAACAGGTCCACATAGCCTAGCTTCCCTCGCTAAATGGATTGTAAGGTGAATCATAATATCAAAGAAAGAAGGTGGAAAATACTTCTCAAGCATGCATATTGTTTCTGCAACCTCATTCTCCAATACTTCCAGCTTACTTTTGTCAATAACTCCTAGACAGAGTTCGTGGAAAAATACACACAACCGAAAGATTGCATGTCTTGGACCTTTAGGCAAAAGACCTCTTATTGCTACTGGCAACAATTGTTGCATTAGGACATGACAATCATGGGACTTGAGTCCAATTAGATTGCAGTCACTTAGATCCACACAATTACTAATATTTGAGCTATAACCATCTGGTACCTTCATATCGAACAACCTCTTACAGAAAATATGTTTCTCTGCTTTAGAGAAGTTGTGAAGTGCTGGAGGTAGTTTCGTCTTTTTTCCTTTCTCTTCAGTTATGCATAAATCATGCCGAATACCCAATTCCTTTAAATCTTTACGACAATTAAGTCCATCCTTTGATTTACCTTTAATATGTAGCAATGTGCCAACAATACTTTCACAAACATTTTTCTCTATGTGCATGATGTCCAAATTATGCCTCAAACATAATTTCTGCAAAACAAGCAAAAATAAGCAAATTAGTTGTGAAAAAAATCGTACTTTTCTTTATAGTTAAATGTTAAGTGTAATTGTCAAACCTTCCAATACGGCAAATCAAAGAAAATTGATTTCTTTTTTCCATATGTTAATAGGATCACTTCCTGTTGTCTGTACACCTTTCTTTACACTCATCTTCCTTTTTGTGCCTTTTTGTGTAGTTGACTTTTTTCCCCAATCCCTTTCCAGCTGCTTCGGAAGCATATAAAACTTCTTTCACCTGTCAATACCCTTGGTTTTTGCCCAATATCATCATTCCCATCAAACCATTTACCCTTCTTGCGAAACTCATGAGAAGGTGGAAGAAATCTTCTATTGCTGGTATATACATGCTTCTTACTAAACGGCAACCTCAAAGATCGCGTGTTAGCACCACATGCCACACAAGCAAACCTGCCCTTTGTAAAACATCCAGCCAAGTTACCATAAGCGGGATAATCACTGATTGTCCACATCAAAATAGCCCTCAAATTGAAAAGTAGAATTTGTAGTTGCATCAAATACACCCACTCCTTCATTCCATAACACACATAAATCTTCTATGAGTGGTTGCAAGTAAACATCAATATCATTTCCGGGTTGTTTCTTCCCAGGAATTATTAACGTCAACATCAAATTCTCTTTCGACATGGCTAACCATGGAGGAAGATTGTATGTAACTAATATAACTGGCCAACAACTATATCTAGAGCTTAGCTGGCGGAATGGGTTAAATCCATCGGTAGCTAAACCAAGTCTCAAGTTTCGTGGATCTGAGGCAAAATCAGGATATCTAGTGTCAATAGACTCCCATGCTGGCGAATCAACTGGATGTCGCATCTTACCATCCTGACTTTTGTTGGTATGATGCCATGTTAAGTCTTTGGCCATGTCATCATCCTTAAACATTCGCTTAAATCTTGGTATAATAGGAAAGTAGCGCAACACCTTTGCAGAAACTCCTTTGTAAATGTGATTATTACGTTTACCAACCTGCCAACGTGAAGAACCACACTTTGGACACGTCTCAAGTTGTTCAAAGTCTTTCCAAAATAAGCAGCAATCATTTTACACATGCATCTATTTTCTCGAACCCTAAATCAAACACCTTAAGTAACTTCTTTGTCGAATTCATTGAATTCGGAAGTGTATATTACCTTCCGGAAACATGTCCTTTAAGGCTTGGAGGAGCTCGTCAAAAAGCTTATCTGTTGCACCATTTGAAGCTTTAATCTTGTATAAAAACTACAGTTGCTGACAACTTTGTGTATTTCGTACAACCTTCATATAAAGGAGCTTCAGCTTCTTCAACCTTTTGTTTGAAATTCTCATCTCCAATTAGCAAGTTTGCTTTTCCAGTTCCATCATCTTCAGCCAAGACATCCCTATACATCTGATATGTTTCTGTCACGTTGGCATAGTCATGTTGTTGAAGAATAGGTTCTTGTTCACCATGGAACACCCAAGTAGTATATGAAGGATCTATATTCCATTTATAACCAAGTGTTCATACACAATCGCAGGTAGTTGAAAACATTGGTTTTGACATATTATACATGGGCAAATGATCTTATCTCGATTTCCTCCATATTCTTTAGCTACTTGTACAAACTTTTGTGCACCCTCTCTGTATTCTGTTGATGGTCTGTATTATAAATAAATCTTAATCACTTTAAACAGACCCTAGTTATCAATGTCAAAAATGAAATTCATTGAGGCAGATAATATACCTCGAAAATGTTAGCCAATCTTTGTCCATTGCAATCAGATAGTTGACAATGATCGTTTCCAACAATGCTTCTCAAAAGTAATCCTAAAATAATAATTTAATCAGAAATTAACACTGAAAATAAATAAAAAACACAAAAAAAAATTGAAATTTCGTACCTCTAAATTTCTGGGTGTTTACTGTGAATCCAATTGAGAACTAAGGGCGCAGATTGCGAGAGGAGAAGACGAAGAGGGAGGAAGCACGGGTTTGTTTTGGCGATGAATTGGAAAAGCACGTCAATTTCCAAAATAAAAAAGGGAAATCTAATGATCAAATTCAAGAAATATTCAATCTCACAACAATTTTAAGCCAATCAGTTATGCACCAAATCAAATTTTATGAAATTCTAGCAAAATACAACCCCAATAGAACACAAATGGACCATAAAAAAATACGAAATATCAACAACTAAATTCGATAAAGTAACAAACCACAGCGAAAAATCAAATATTTGGCTTCTGGGTAGTTGAGAAGAAGTGAGATTTAATTACCTCTTGAAGGCTAAAGAAATTGGGTACAGGATGAGGGGGCGAGAAGATCGTAAAGCAGAGATCGAAAAGATAAGGAAGCAGGGATCGGAAGGATCACGAAGCAGCGATGGAAGAGATCGATGCGGAGTGTAGGACGCATGATCGAAATCGCCAACCCGTTGCAGAGCAGCTGAGAATTCTGTTGTTACTGTGTGCAACAAAGAGAAAAAGCGCCTGATATGGAAAACCAAACGGAGGGCATTTTCGTCCGCGCATTCTCCGTAAACAGTGCAAGCTGGTTTGGGTTTTATTAGTATAGGAATACTATCCTCCAAAATATTAAAAATAAAAAAAAAAACAAAATCCACCACAGGCCGATGCCGTGGTGAATTTTCAAAAGGCTGTGTGGTTGTTTGAAGTAACCATAACGAGTATATCGCGTGGTGGTTTTGATATTTCATTACGGGATTAAAAATCGTTGTAAATTATTTACTTTTAATAACGGGCCAGAATTTGACCGTGGTGAATTAATGTTATCTACCATGATCTACATGTAACCGTGGTAATTGAATAGTTTCTACCACGAGCTGTTGATGCCCGTGATGGAATTGATGTGGTAAATATGCTGTTATGTACTAGTGTAAGTTTCCCTTTAAAACAATCTGTGCAGATTTTGAAATCGTCAAAATTTAATTGGGGCAACAAGTTTTGTTTGCTCAAAGTGATGATTCTTTCCTTCGAAATATGCCCCAACCTCTTGTGCCAAAGCATAGAGGATTTTTAAGAAGTGAGCAGCCTTTTAGAACCAACACTTTGAACATTAAAACACTCATGCACATATGAACATTCCATTTGCCACATATCAGTTTGTAAATGAGCAACACCAAGCAAGGAATTCATATTATTTGATTCGAAAAACCTTACACTTTCATTGTCCCCAACAAAAGAAATACCTAACTTAACTAATTTGGACGCAGAAATTAGACTCCTTCTCATTGAAGGTACATAAAGCATTGGTCATAATTCCAAAATAAAACCAGATGACATAACTAATTTGACACTACCAATGGACTCGATAGCAACCTTGCTCCCATTCCCAACATAAACATTGTAGACTTCATTGTTTACTTCCTTTGTTTTTGAGAAGCCCTGCAAAGAATTAGTTATGTGAATTGAACATCCAGTGTCAAACCACCAACTTTGAGGAGGAATAAAAATTAAATTAGACTTTACACAGACAAAAACATTTATTATTTTACCTTTCTTTGTAAGCCAATTTTTGAAACCGACGCAATTCCTTCTTAAATGACCTGTTTCTTTACAAAAATAGCATTCATTTTCCTTTTCCTTTTCTATCTCAGTGTTCACTGGTTTGAGTTTGACAGATCCCTTAGAAGTGTTAGCATTTTTAAAAGAAGAAGAAATTACATTCTTCTTCTTCTTACCAGCAGTAAAAGTTGAACTAGCATTGAATGACTTGGACCCTTTCTCCATTTGCACCAGGTTCACTTCACCAGTTTTGTCAACCCTAAGTCGTTCCTCCTCTTGCATACACATTAAGATCAGCTCATTTATACCCCATTTGTCTTTCTGTGTGTTGTATGAGACCTTCAGCTGACCATACTTAGCAGGTAGTGAGTTTAAAGCCATATGAACCAAGAATTGATCAGTCATAGGTACCTCTAAGTCTTTCAGCTTCAGAGAGAGATCGACCATCCTGAGAATGTGCTCCCTCACACTCCCTGTGCCATCAAATTTCATGGAGGTAAGTTGAGTGAGGAATGTGCCTGTCTCTGCCTTTTCTGATTCTTTGAATTTTTCTCCAACAGCAGCTAAGAATTCCTTGGCATTGTCAAGCTTTGGAATCCCTCCCTTGACAGGTTGTGCCATGGCTTTAGTCATAATCATTAGGGACATTCTGTTGGCTCTTTCCCATTTTTCAAATTTCGATTTCTGATCAGCCGTGCTCTCATATGTTAAGGCTGCAGGTTTGTTTTCTCTCAATGCCAAGTCAAGGTCCATTAGACCCAAAACTATCTGTACATCCTCTTTCCACTTCTTGAAGTTGGAACCAGTAAGGGTTTCAATGCTGTTGAAGTTAAGGGAGGTCATATGTGGAGCTACAAAATACAAAATTTCCTTAATGTCAGTATATTCAATCTGCACCTTAACAGTTAATGAGGAAAACTTTCACATAATGTTTTCCCTTAACAAGCATATGAACACAGCAACATCTTTAGACAGATGCTGTTCATATTAATTTTGCATAGCTGGATAATAAGATACAAGGTAAATTTACATGTTTTCAACACTTTTGAGCAGATGAATAATGTAATCTTGTCAATTTCATGTTCCACTATACATTGAATCATTTAAACAAATTGAATAATAAACACTTTTGAGCAGATTATCATTCAAATGCTTTTAAACGAGTCACCACATCAATATGTTTGATTCACAGGTCAAAACAATGATCTAAACACTTTTGAGCATAATAGGTATTGTTTTCTTGTTTTAGTTGTTCATACGTTATCATTATGATAACATGAACCCTATAGTCTTGCACATCTCCATTAGTGTCTTCGAGTAGTCATATCTGCCATTGTTAGAGAATCTCTTCCTGATAAAACTTGAACAAACACATCATTATGATATAAAGTGTATGTATATATATATATATAACCAGTTTTAATGAATGTAAGCATGCATCAACATTAATAAGGAAAACTCTATTAGATATGACAAAAAGTTTGCAGCGGAACGACCAAGATCTTAAACATAATAATCATTAGTGAAAGATTTAGAATGAGCCCTAGCCATGTTAGGTGGCTCTGATACCACATGTAAGCATTTCTATAAAACTTATAAACCACAACCACAACAACTGGACACTAGGGTTACAATACAATTACATCATGCAGAATATAAAGCATATCAGAAACTAATTACAGAAACACCTACTTGTGTTTGATGCCATAATTGCAACGCAAGTCAGTCTTCTACTCCCACTACTCAATAGCTCCCTTACTGTATGAATAGGTTTCAGTATCTCTACGGTTTTTCACGTATGGGAGCAGGGACTATAACTTCATATATATATATCACTAGGGTTACACAACCAGCCGATTAACAGTTGTGTATCCTTATCGCCTTAATAATGAATGAGTCCTATCATGATTAAACATCTTTGCATTCAATCCTTATCAGAATTGCTTTAAGTTAGCTGCATGAAATAAGACTCCATAACCCTTACGAAGTTGAGACCAACTATACTATCTGCGTCACAGTTAACTTGAAAACCAAGCTAACTGTTATTCAAGTGATATTAACTAACACTCATTGTCATTCACAAGAACTTTACAATGTGCACAAACAAAATAAATATTGATTCATATGAAACAAAAACAGTTTGTCACTACTTATCAAAGCATCCAAAAGCAAAACAAGGATATTTGAGCACTCGTCTCTTTTCCCCATTTTACAGAAAACACAGCATCAGCGAAGCAATTATAAACCTTCCTAATCGAGTCGCCAGCTCTCACTTCGATTGTTGTTTTTCTCAGCCATACACACACTCTTTCTCCTCTACCCCAACACTCACAGATATCGATTCGTCACTTCCCCAAGTTCTGATTTTTAAGCCGCACCGCACCATCTTTTTTCCTGTCTCTTGACATCACGATTCCGCTATATTCGGCCCCCATCTTTGTTCCAGATTCAGCAAGAGGTTTAATCTGGCAGATTGAAAAGGTTGGCGTGTACACTTGTTACTTTCACTTGATACACTGACTCGATATATATAAAAAACACAGCACAAATACAATAAGTCCTAATATTCATATTGAACTAAAATGCCTAAGAGAAACTAAAGATATATTTCTGCCCCACGACAACAATTCCCTTTCCCCTCCTCCCATAAAAAAATTCCGATTTCCAATTCAACCAAACATATATCACATATAAAACTAAATTCTCATATAATTTTATAAATTTGCTACAGTCAAAAGCTACTCTTACTCGAGGATGAATAAGAGTAGCCATGCCTGGAGAAAGTACGTAAAAGTTTACTTCCACCAACCAAAAGAGCACAAACCTGCAAAACCTAGAACTTGTTTTTAGAAAAAACAAAAAAAACAAAAAAAAACAAAAACAACTTTATGAGGCACTTTCACATATATGTCGATCTCATATATGCCATCACTCGATTTAACATACAAGCGTGAAAATTAAATACGCAAGTACTAACAGAACTCTCCATCACGAATATCTGTCCATATTTGAGAATTCCAAAAACCCCAACAGACATATATAGAGTGAAAAAGAACACAATAAACCTAATGAACTCAAATGGATTAGGGTAGAGATATTTATCTGCAGACTAATGACACCTTAACTTGCATATCATAAGTCAAGCAATTATTTCCCTTAGGTGATGACAAGCATAGCCCAGTGACAGACCGGTCCTATGAATATGCCAAAATATGTGATACCTCATTACAAAGGAAAAAGAATATCTAAGCCTAAAATACTCTGGACACTTAACCTGGTGAGATAACCAAACATTCAAAATAGTAAGTCACGAGTAACTTCAAGGGCAGGAAGAGGATAAGCTAAGTAAGCCAGAACACCTGGCCTGGGTTCAGCCGTTCAGGCCCCCTTGTATTCTCGATCTCACGCTTTCAATCATCAAGTTCTTATTACTAACACTTATACTTCGTGCTCAATTACGTTCTACACAAGTAATAAATAGTTACTTGTTCTACACGAGTGGCCGGCCTGCCAAATCACAAAACTTTTGTTAGTTCTAGAAACCTGATAAAGTCGAAAGCTAGACTTGTTGATCAAGGAAAGCTACACTCATTGATCAGTACTCAAACTCGAGGATGAGTAAGAGTAGCATTGTTCTATATATTGGAAAAAAGAAATGTGACAGTTCCAAGCGAAATGCTCAAGATCTTTGTGTAATTGTGCGAAAAAAGTTTGGGAAAATTTCAAGGGTTGATGAAATGCTTGTTTCGAGGCAGAAAAAGAATGAAAATATGCTGGTTTCATTTGTGTTGCTGCCTCCCTCAGCTCTCCAGAGCTATACCCCAATGGACAAGCTTTGCAAGAGGAAACATTCGCTGCCGAATGACGTGGACTATTACATTGAACTTTTCTAGTTGAATTTGTTTGCATGTTTGACCTTTTTTAACATGG